GGAGATGTGATCTCTTTCCGCTGTACATACTCCCGCTCTTATGACACCATCAGCCATGAGGTCCTTAACAGAGCTGAGTTGATGCCAGAAATATGTCTTAGAACCTCCATGACTGTGATCTACACAAATCTTTGTCTTCATAAAGTTAGCCTGCCTCTGGCATTTTGTAATAGTATTAAAAAATAATTCATACACTAGAAAATGGTCCTTACCCAAAATGAATCATACTGTCACCCTGATCTCAGAAATTCCGGTCCCAGGATCTATGAGGAGTCATGGATGCACAGCCCTGGGGTAGGGATCTGGACAAGTTATTACAGTGTCTATTACAAGTGATCATTTTGAATGTGAGAAGTTACCAAGTGACTTTTATCCTCCTACCCCTCTTTAAAACATTTAAATATACTCTTCTTTCTGGTATGATTTAGTTGTACAATCATAAAATGATCATTATACTTTAACAACAACAACAAAAAAGTACTAAAGTTCTCGACCCTCTGTATTTTGAGTTCTCATTGAATCTCCCTCATTCTATAAAACAGGACTAAAGAGAATCAAAGCCTGGCTCCATTGTCTTTATCAGGCATGACTCTCACAGTGGCAGAAATTGCTTTCTTTGTCATCGTGAGAAAAATGACATCATATGGAATATGAAAATGAGATTATTATAATGTTTAGTGTCTTTAATAAGTAAATGTTAGTTTCAGATTCCTTATGAAGATTTTTGTATGAGAGCCAATCTGTTGGCTCTCCATTCAAGACCACAGCCAACTGCCCTTGAGAATGTGTTCATTCTCCTCTGTTCCCACTCAAATGTTGCAGCCTCAGATCTACTGCCTGAAGTTTTCCATGAGTATTTGTGCCCCAAATAGTACTACCCTCCACTGGACTTCTATGGTACCGACATCACACAGCCTGCAGTCAGGACTAAAAACAGGCATGTCATCTATCTACAAACCAGGCAAGCAGCCGAGAAAAATGGATGAATGGAGAGCCATGAGCTAGCGGTTTTCATTTTACCTGATTTTGCTAAAAATGAATCATGGTACAGAAGAGAAAATACGTTGCCTCCCCACATGAGCTACTGAGGAATTCATTAGTCAAGGGGGAAACACTGTGAAGTTCTGAATTATCAATGAGAATGAGAGCTACCTATGGTTCTTCTTATATCCTTTCAATTTTTCAGAGGGACAGTTAGGAACACTTCCCCAGTGTTTGGATAAGAGCAAGTGAGCCCAGTTGGGGAGGGTAGATCAGAATCTCCAGGACAGGTGACAGGTGTGATCCATCCTTCCTTCCAGAAAATCTCCACCAACCCCATTTTTTAGTGTTCCTAAAAAGTAGCAGCAATTAAAGATGAAAAAAAAACTCACATTGAAGATTATCTTAGCGCTTTCCTCACAGTGATTTTTTTCTCACTTTTTTCCTAATGGCAGATGATCTATTTATATATTGGGAAGGTTTCTGATGGTCTCATCTCCTGCTGAGGAAAGGAAACTCGTTGGCCCCAGCATAAATGATGTTGGTTTGTACCCTGCTCATTCCAAAGGAAAGTAACCGTCTTGTAGGAGCAGTGGTCAAACTGAGTGAAAAGCCAGTCTACACTGGGGTAGGCAACGGTCTCCCTGACCTCAGGTGACTCCATGTTTCATCTTAATGAAGCTGAATGCTGCCTAATCTGTCTTTCTTTTCCTAAAAACCCAGCCACAGTGACAAGGGCTAACTCTGGAGAACCACCATCTTGGATTTTCTTTGATTCCTCTTTCAGGTGGAGCTTTGAGCCAGTTCTTCCTTGGGAGAATGTTATGGGGTAACATTTTGATATATGAAGCGACCTCTTCCCAATGCCACACGCTAGACGAGGAGAAAACTTCAGCATTCTCGGTCTCTCCTTTTATGCCAAATAGCAATCAACAGGCCTTTTACCAAGTACAAAATGCCAACTGGATAGTCCCAATTCCCAGCACAAGGTGATACAAAGCTAGAGGAATGAGAATGACTAAAAGTTTACCCGCAAGATCCCAAATTATCTTAAATATTAACTGATTTAGAGAGGTTCTGCACTAGATGCAACTAGATTCTAGACTTTTATTTGATTTCTGACATGATTTGCCCATGATATTTTAGGCATTTCTGCATGTTTAAACAAGAGAATTCAGCCTAGGGCCAGGAAAACTTACAAGAAGCAATTTCAGTGGGAGGATAATCGAATTCTGGGCAAACCTAAATGTCACAGACTGAAGTCACAGCCTCTAAACTACACAATTAAAAACTCAGTCACTATTGGCTGTTTGCTATTTTTTTAGTCAAAGGCCATAAAAAGTGGAATTTTAGAGGAGGTTGACTCAACTTAGTATTCCGTAGACATAACCTGAAAAATACAGAAACACTCAATAAACGGCAGATCCAAAAGGGTGGCTTTTGGTGAATGGCACATGTTGATCTAATACTGAGAAGTATCAGCAGCCAAAAAAAAACTGGGATATTTATGAATATGATATTAAAGTTTTTCAGTTACGATACCAGACTCAAAAAGAATATTTCATTCCAGTTATAACAGGGTCACAGAATTCAGCTCTGTGGAGGACGAATGGGTATCCAAAAGGGGAGAGAACATAACAGCTTGCATTTTTATGATGTTTTGACATTTTCAAGATGCTTTTTGGAAAAGGAGGAAGCATTTAAAGGCAGAAGGAGAGTACAGTGGCCAATTGCTTGGGGTCAGACTGCCAGGTTTGAGTCTGACTTCTGCCAGGGTGCAGCAACAGTTAGCCTATCAGCAAACAGCAAACTCTGCTTCTTTGACACACAGCTAGACTACATTTCACAGTCTCCCTTGCAGGTCAGCGTGGCTGTAACTACGTCTTAGCCAATGAAGGATGAATGTAAGTGTTGTGCAAGATGACCTTGCCCATAAAACTCCTACAATTGTTCATGTTCTTTCTCCTTCTGTTTACTTAAGGCAGACAAGCATGGTAACCTTGAAGCCATATGTAAAAAACTGTGAAACCACAACATAGAAAAGATCTAAATTTAGATCCCTGTGATTACCTATTTTTTTATTTTACATGAAAAATAATGTTCTGTTGTGTTCAGCTACTAAGAACCATGGGCTTATCATTCATAGCTGCTCAATTATCATAACTAATATGGCCAGGTTTTCCTTGACTTTGGTCAAATTATGTCACTTCTCTATGCTTCAATTATGTCCTTGGTAAAGCAGGGATAATGCTGTGTTTATTTCAAGGGGTAGTTGGGAGAATGTGTGTGGAGCACCTTTGCAGTTCATGGAAGGTGGTAAGCCCCCAACAAATGGCAGATGCTATTACCTGCTCTTTTGGGGTTGAAGCTTTTGCTTGGAATCATGCTAAATATTTAACATACATCATCTCATTTAATCTTCAAAGCAACATTGTAATCAGGCATTATCACTCCCACTCAATCCATAATAAATTGTGATAATTAATAAAATTGGACATTTTCTACATGCTCAGTATAGCTCCAAATGCTTTAAACGCACTAACTCCAGAAATAAGCCTACTAGGCATGTAGTAGTGTTATCCCCACTTATAGTGCAGAAACAGAGACTCTGAGCTTACTTTTCATCCTTAAGCCCATATAGCTACTCAGTGACAAAACCAGGATTCCAATGGGGAAATTGGGATCCAGAGCCCTCACTTGTAAGCACTGCTGGACCCCAAGGGGCTTGAAGCTTGTCAAGGTCAAGTGAAATACTGACATCCTAGGTGTGAGTACCCATGGCCTTGGAAACCAAAAGCTCAAAGCAGAAGAGACTGCAATTGCACAGGCCCATCCTAACTGAGGAATCAGTAAATGAATTTAAACCCATTGAAGCAGAGCTGGACCAGTGTTATTTAGTGCTGGTGCTACAGGTTGGGTTCATCTGATAGTTGGAGATTTAGTGGTATTTATGCCACCAGCTCCTTAAAACTGATCTCACATAGAGCCTTGTTTAGTCACAGAACATATTCCAAATTCTCACAAACGCTTGCTGAGCATGATACATGAATACCATTTGCCAAGATCTTCTGTTTCTGTGAATCTTTGGGCTGGTATCACTTTAAGCCTAAACACTGCTAACAGATCACTCCACCGGCAGGAGCTGGAACAAGTACAGAGAGACCAGATTCAGATTCGTGCCTTATATGTCTCTGTCATTAGTTCCAGGGTGACTCATCATTGAGAGCCTGCAAAGTACCCTGGTTCCTGGCTTTCTGGGGGGAGATTCTAGAACATTAGCAATGCTTAATAATTTAAGTGCAGATGTTGAATGGACTTTAAATGCAACCAATTAGCCGAATTTAATTTTCTTTGTGAGAAATGGTATAAAGCTACAACAGTGGGAAATCTGTTTTCCATGCAGTTCTTGGATAAAAGGTCCATTTTACTGGTAATTTATTTTTTTTTAATTTTACATAGACAAAGAAGGTTTCCTTTTGCAGAAAATTCTGCATTTAGATAATCTGTTGGACATTACAGAATGATTGATTCATTGTCTAAAACATATGATTGAGTTTTATCATTTTAAGGGTGAGTTCATTATCTGCTTGCTGCTCAATCTCAGTGATAAAAATAGTACAAAGAATTAAATGTGCTGAAATATGACATTATATTTTTCTGCTCTTGAAAAGCACTATGCAAAAATCATCCCATCAGTCCTCCAAGATTTACACAGGAAAGAGCTATTATTCCATAATCAATGAAAGGTATCATCAAGAGCTAATTTGGATAGAGAATGGGTCCATAAACTACCATTCTCTAGGTATATAGGTCACACAAACTATATTTATTAAAGGATGAAGAAAAATGAGGGAGGAGATACTTAGGTTCAAGATTTTATAAATGTTTTTGTCTTATAAAATAAGATTATGCACCTAATATTGCAATGCATTTATTATACTTGTCTAAAACTGTGTTTACTCTATGAAAAAAATTTAAAGCCAAGAGAGTTATGTACTGTTAACAGCTGTGGTAATTACCTGGTACAATTACTTGGTACAACACAGGGTCCATCTTGGACACAGTAGAACATTGGGGTTCATGCTTGGTCTTAGAGCCTGTGTCATCTTTTGCAAGTCACCTGGCTTCTGTCTGTCTGTTTTATCCTCTGCAAAAAAGGGAAAATGACATTGTCTCCCACATAATGTTGCTGTAAGAATGAGCCAAGTCAATGTACAAGATTTTCAAATAATGCCCAGCCTAAAATAAGAGCTTGATGAATGCTTTGCAAAAGGAACAAGTGCTTGTTAGCATTTAACCTTTCAATTGTACGATGAATAAGTTCTGGGCATCTAATGCAGAACATTAGTAATACTATAGGGTCTACTTAAAATTTGTCAAGAGTGGATTTACATGTTTGGAGGGTGGAATGCTGGGGATTGAACCCGTGGCTTAAACATCCTAGGCAAGCATTATACCACTGAGCTATGCCCCAGCCTTTAAAAGAGTAGATCCTAACACACACACACACACACACACACACACACACACACACACACGGGTGATGAGTATGTTCATTAACTTAATTGATGGGATCATTTCACAACATGTATGTATATCAAATCAGCACATTGTATACCTTAAACATATACAATTTTTATTTGTCAACTATACTTTGATAAAGCTGAAAAACATGACAATTAGGTTTTCTTAGATGAGCATGCATTAATCTCTTTCAATACAAAGACATTCCATTAATAACTAGTCAGAGATGATGCTTCATCTTCAATACCTATGAAAGAGGCAATAGGATATTAAAAGTAAATATTTTCTACCTTCCTTATTATAGACTTTATATTAAGGGAAATTCAAATCAAGAAGACATAGAGGCTAATATATTCCATTCCCCACTGTCACTGCTCACTGCAGCATTTTTTTGAGGATAAGGAACAGCCTAGGTTTCATTTCCAAATTCCAACAGTTAAGATTAATTTGGATGAGTTCCATCTTTAAATGCAACTTGACTTTGGGAGTATCATTCACATTCATTAGCAACTTACTTTTCTTGCTGCACTGGTTGTAATTAAATGATTCAAAGAGACTGTTTTATCAAGGAATGTGAAATATAAGTTGATGAAGTGGGAAGTTCTACTTGAAACTCAGTTATTAGGAACACACCTCAGTGTAGCACTTAGGACTATATGCAAGTCCTCTCTTACTGACTAAAAAAATCTGTCCAAAAGCCACAAGCATGCCAACAAACATGAGTTTAGCTCATATTTCTGTGTGACAAATAAGCTGAACCTCACCTGAGTGATTCTGTTGGCCTGGGCTAGTTTGAGATACCCACAGCTGGTTTGAGTCATAATCTAGGGTCGTAGCTGGAACATTTCAGCAGATTTCTCCATGTGGGACCTTATCTTATAGCAGACTGGTCCACATTTGTTTCAATGATGCAAACTAAGGTCCAAAAAGCAGTTGAAGCATGCAAGATACTTTTGGCTGGAACAATGTCTCTACAACATTACTTTGATCAAAATAAGTCACACACAGTCAGCCCAGATTGGAGCCATGAAGTCATGTTGCAAAGGGAAAGGATGGAGTTCAGTAAAGAACTATGGTCAGTTTTGTAATCTGACAGCCAATGTCATTCCTATATTATGAAGAAGGTTGAAGACAGGGCCCCCTCAAAAAGAGAAAAACAAAGCTCAGTTTGCAAAGTGGCCAGGACCCTCATGGCTTTAAAATATCCTTTATAAATGTTTTTTGGCATCTGGTTACATTCTATTTTTTTGTAAGAAGCAAGATTTTGCATAAGTGGAATTATTGGGAATACCAAAGAATCACATATGTATGGCTCATGCTAATTCAATCCATGTGATTGGAAAATCTGAGATTCTTTGTCACCCTTAAGTGAAAAGCAATAATTTCTTTAAAAACATAGATGATAAACAATTTGCATATCATTGCTGTTGCTTTGTTTTTTTTAAGAGAGAGAGAGAAGAGAGAGAGAGAGAGAGAGAGAGAGAGAGAATTTTTTAATATTTATTTTTCAGTTTTTCGGTGGACACAACATCTTTATTTTATTTTTATGTGGTGCTGAGGATCAAACCCAGCCCCTGCACATGCCAGGTGAGCGCATTACCAAAGCCCTGCTTTGCTTTTATCAACTGTGACAAACAGCTTTTCATATATCACTTCCACAGGCTGAAGAGGGTGGACAGGAGGGTAGTTTCAGTCATTCAGTGTATTAATCCAGTAATGCAGATAATCAGCCTCCGCAATGGGTACCACTGGGACGCTCACCCTTTGGGTTATGTGACTGTATTGTAAGTTGTGCTGACACTTATTCTTAGAATTTCAGCATTCCAGCAACTACTCCCATCTCTCCACCAACCATAGAGTTAAGACCCTTTGAGAGAGGACTTCTGAGTAGGCCAGGTTAAAGTGGTTGCTAATGCCTTTAACTAAGCAGCTTAAACAGGTAATGAAAACATACATCATTCTTCAAGATGCTCATAGAGAACATAACCTTCAAAGACTTAGAAAATGTCATGTGCTTTCAAATTAAATTGTATTCAAAATCTAAAAAGCTAGAGACAGGACAGAAAAAACAGATCATCATTTATTAAGGTAATTAGAGATTACAGTAATCTTACAGTTGTCTCTGGATCCTCTATCTGGCATAATAAATATAAATTACACTCTCTTTGTCTCTTTAGCTCAAAACTGTATAGAGGAGGAAGTAGAGAAACTGTGAAAGTTTATCAGAGATGACATGAAAATAAAAGACGAAAACAACTCAGGTGACTTAAAGTCTTAAAATGGGATAGCTGAAAATGTTAGCAGAGACCCAATTACATAATCCACTTTAAACCTGGAGAAAACACCAAAAGTTTGCTCAGCCAACAGGTGACTGATGTGCTCCCTGTCAGAAACTGGCCTTTTTGCCTGGGGGCCTGATCATAATCGCCTAATAAGTTCCCAGTCATGCTCACCCAGCCCTCGTGACCTCATTTTAACATGTGTGAAATATTTTTAAATAGGTTTCTGAATATTTTAACAGGCTGCAAGTCTGTGGGGTAAACGGCTTTCTTGGGCTTCTGATTTAAATCTCAGTTGGCCTTACTACTGCATTTCCAAAGGTGGGCTCCGGCCCCCCTGAGCTGCTGGGAAAAGGCTGCGGCTCCTGGGTCTGGCTGGAGTGTGCTCTGCTTCCCCCTGGGGATTCGGGCCATGCCCTGAGCAGGAGGAGCCCTGAGCTTTTTGATGGCAGCATAAGTGGGCACCAAATAATGTTTTATTGGAATCCCCGGAGGTTCTGATTCTGTAAGGAAAAGTCAGGAGCGTTGGAAGGCAAGGCCATTCGGAAAGGTGGACCTAACCGTGCCAGACGCCTCCCACCCTGGCAGCTCCCATGGCAGAAGGATTTCTATGTCGTAGCCCCAGAAAAACGGTTCTCTGTAGTAGACACGGGATAGCTATTGGGGCAGAAAGAACAGAGAGGGAAGGGGAAGACAGTGCAGGGCAACACATCATTTAACAAGGACTTCCGTATGTGAGGTGAGAGGAAGAGGGGGATGTTTTAGAAAAAGGAAATGAGTGGAGTCGAAGGAGGTGAGAGATGTCTGGGATGGTTATTGTCATAAAGGGGACCTATTTATGGATTAGGTATTAGTGCTCTTTGTCACTACCTTTTTTGAAGAGGTCAGCAAATAATGGGATTATTTCTATTACCGTTGCTTCCTGCTAGTGCTTCTTTGTATGTGGTACTTTTCCACAGCTGGGCCTCCTGAGACCCTGACTTTATCAGGTTGTGTCCCTTGTTGCTTTCCCAGTCTCCCTCCATTTCCCATGCCCAACCCACTGTTCCCAGTAAGGCTGCTCACGCCACCTCCAGCCCCCCTGAGCCCTGCAGGCTTGGACTGCCATCGACTCCCTGGTGAGCTGGAGAAATGAGGAGCAACTGCCTCATAGCACAACCCAAGAGAAACAGCGGGACCATAGAGAAAAATTAAAATGGGGAGGAAGCACGTTTGTGGGAGACAAAGAAAATGAGAAGGCTGTGAAGTGCTGCTACAATTAAAACGTTAATTTTAAATCTGTGCTAACTTTAAAATTCCCCTTTTTCTTTTTTTCTGAGTAATCGTATGGCTCATATTCTCAGTGTGTTAGCTTAGGTACTCAGCTTAAAATACACTTTGATTAATTCTGAACTATTCAGCATTAATCAGGCACTGCATCGAGTTATCTTTGTGTTTCATGCCTCCAGAGTCCCAAAGTTGAGTTTAAATGCTTCTGAAGAAAAGAATCCCTAAATTAATTGTGGACTTGGCGCTCCCAGCAGGAAGGGTGTTAGACGTGCGAGGCTGGGTCACCAAAGGACTGTTTGGAAAAAGAAGAGAACTATTTCTTGGAAGATGAGTGGAATCTGTCTCAGGGTGGAATTCTGTCTGCTCACAATGATGTAGATGCCACAGTGCTCAGAGGCAGCACTATTGATGGTCTGTGGGATCAATGCTGTGATTCTGAAAGGTGCAAATCACCCTGGGACTCTCAGTGGTGTGACAGAATTGCCTTGGGACAATGCTCTGGGAAAAGGTTCTGGAGGAGCAGAGATGTTTATTAGTAAAGGAGATGCCAGTGGAGAAAGAAAATGATGCTGTGAAGTGAGTGTGATTTAGACATGAACCGACCCAGGTCTAATCCTGATCCCACCTATTGACAGCCATGTGGCCTGTGCAGTTTGAGGAAGTGAGCTTCACTCCCTTATTTTCTACTTGATACATGGAGGATCCAAGCATTAATTATTAGCAATATTAAAACTAATACTAGTTAAGTATTAATAGCACTTTTAAAATACATAGAGCAATGATTTAAGTCACATGGTTCTCTTTTGGGATTTGGATTTTAATGCATGGATATGCTCACCTGAATGGAAAGGGGCATTGTTTCCTGTATTAAAATGGGAGTATCATCTCTAACAACTTCTAATACAAGTTTCCTTGTGCCACAAGGGATGGAGAGGTGGTACCAGTAGCTGAAAGATGGTGTTAATTCAATATGGAGGGGGTCTTGGGAAGGAAGTCGTGGCCAAAGATCCCAGTCCTGGAGACAGGTCTGAGCTCACACCCTTTGTTCCATCCCCAAACTGGGACAAATGGCACTGAGCTGGATCCGGAGCATCAGTGATGACAAACACATAGTTTGTGACTGATGCCTTTTTTATTCTTCAAAATACTCAAACTCTTATCAGATTCTAAAGTTGATGGGATTGGCACTCAGCGTATGAGAGCTGCATGTTTATTGCTGAGAATGTTTCTTCCAGGCTTCTAAACCCATAGAGTCTTTAAAGATCAGATTTGATTTTTGACTCCTTTTTCAATTTTAGCCATGCAATTTATCCAGTGAATTGTGATAAAATAGAAACTGAATTTCATGGACCAAAATAATATTCTGTGCTGAAGTTCTACCATTTCTAACCCCTTCTTTCCAAAGGAGGTTTCTTGTCACTTCTGTCTTTGTACTTCTTGGTTGCCCTATTTGTATTTGCTATCTTAATCAATTTATTGACTTATTTTATTTTGTTTTGAAGGAGCAGCATATACTTTCCATCACTTTTCCCCCTCCTGAAATATCTTTCAGTATTTTAACAAAAGCACAAGAGTTTCCACTCGTCACACCATTCATAGAATTACTTCCTGTGGGCATTCTTTGTCCAGTCCCCTATTTGTTTTCTGACATTCCCTGCCTAGTCCCCTTTTTCCTAAAACTAAAGACTCTGGGAAACGCACCTTGTCCTTTCCTCAGTTACACACAATGAAAAGCTCAGGTTCCTCCCACTCCACCCCACCTTCACCCTGCACACCCAATATGTCACCAAGATCTGAACTCTGTAGTTTCAGAATATATTTTTTAAAGTAACAGGTTTATTATAATTCACAACATCACAGAAATCATTCTTTTTAGGTATCTGATCTGGTGGATTTTATTGTGTTCACAGAGTTGAGAAACCATGACCAATCTATTTCCAAAACATTTTCATTACCCCAAAAAGAATCCTGTACTCTATAGCAGTCACTCCCCATATTCCTTACCCCAACGCCTAGAAACCATCCATCTACCCTCAAGCTCTAAGGATATGTCACATAAATGGAATCATGCCCCATGTGGTCTTTTGTGACTTGCTTCTTTCTCTTACCATGAGTTTTTCGGCTTGTTCCCATGACAGCATGTATCAGCTCTTTGTTCCTTCTGTAGCCGAATGCTATTCCTTTGTGTGAATATCCCACCTTGTGTTTGTCTGTCATCCATTATTGGACATTTGGGTTATTTCCACTTCTGTCTTTAGGAATGATGCTGCCATGAACATTTATATGTAAGTTTTTGTGTGGACATGCTTTCAGTTCTATTTGGTAGCTCGCTAAGGAGTGGGATTTGGGGCTCATGTGGCAGACTGTGCTTAATATTTTGAGAAACACCCAAACAATTTTCCAAAATAGCTTTCCCATTTACAACCTCTGTGAGAAGTGCATGGGAGTTTGACTTGCCGGATATTCGGGTCTCTGCACTCTCCTCTTATCTCACTACCAGTGCCCTAATCAGAGCCCAGCCTCTCTCTCCTGGACTGTCACCATCATCTGGTGGCCAGGCTATCATTGCCCAGGCTTCTCCATCTATTCTCCCCACCTCCATTAGGGAGATTTCTTTGTAAAACACAAGACTGACCAAATCACTCCATTTTAAGGATTGTAGAGATTTCGTGTGACCTAAGGGATTTACCATAACCTAGTACCAGCTTCTCAGCCTCCACTCTTCCTCCCCCTGTGCCGCACACACACCTTCACGATCAGCTTCCAAGATTCTCCATTCCATCTCATTCCATCATTCCA